TGCCCCAAGTGTATTTGTTTCAGCAAATCACACTTCCAGTGAGGGAGGCCTGGATCCAATGCACAACTCCATAACCGCTTGGGTTGAGGTGAGTCAGAGTTCGATTCTGCGTAGTTAAGGTGTTTCGATACAGTTTTTCAGAGGCCATACCGATATTTTTCAGTTGCCTTAAAAGTGTTTTTTATTCCTTGTCCGATGGCTATGAAATTTTCACCAATAATTGGTTATGGATTGAAATTTGTCAAAATGTACGTTTTAGTAAAATCGATACTACTATGCCAACAATAAACAAAAAACTTTGAAAGTGATAAAAGCCCAATTTTGCGCAATCTAGACCAGCTACTGAAAATCCAACACTAGTAACTTAAAGTTTGGTGTTTAGCAAATAACCTCCGTAAAAAGTAAACAATTCTGTAAGTTTCCACAGAAACGAAAATGTATTTCAAGCTTTAAATTTTAAGTAGCCGTGATAGATTATTTAATAAAAACGTTATCAATTAAATGACTGAAATTATTCTTAAGTAGCATCAGAATGCTGCTTAATATCGTATTTTGATGGTAGGAAATTTTGGTGTATTTTCGTTCTTGCGATCTCGAAAACTAACCCGTTTTCTCACCACCTGTCTAAGTGCAACTTGTTCCAGATTTGGACTTTTAGCACTTTTTTGTATATCTCTGAAACGACTCGAACGATTTTTTTTTTCAAATCTCTATACATAATCTTCATAAATGAATTAAACTTAGAGGCGTTAGCGCCAGCGTTAATTCAGTTGCTAAGTCAAGGGAAAAACTATTAACGGTTATTTCTAGGAGGGGTCTAATTAAGTCACAATATTCAAAATAAGTGAACCAACATGCAGCTTACATTTCTTAATTTCATTGTCATTAAAACAAGCGCTTTTGACAACATTAATTCATTAAGCAATTCCAATGACATATACCTTCACCCTAGTAAGCTAAAGCCCCGTGCAAACAGACGCAACTTTGTTGGGAGTTGTTATGTTCGTTTGCACGTAGCTGAAAGTTTGATCGGTTTCAAACTTTGCGCAACAACTCCCAACAACATGCAACAACATGCAACAGGGTGTGCAAACGGACACAACGTGTAACATCTGTTGTGAAGTATTTTGAAAGTCATTTTTAAGATTTTTCTCATCTTTTAAGTTAATTTTTTGTTTCATTAAGTGGGTCAAAGTTCGTCTAGATTTTGTCCACGTAGGTGTTTTCCTATTTGATCTTTTAGTACAGCTCGCGGATTTACTTAAAGTCATTTTAGGAACGTTGTTCGCTGCTATTGATGATTTGAACAGTGACGTCATCAGATTGCAAAGTCAAAAAAGCGATATTTTACGAATTCTTATTTACACTAGGTTGAAAATAAATAGAAAATAAATCTTTGTAGAGTTACCAGCACCAAAGCATGTTTCATCTCGAACTTCCGAGTTTTCACAGTGCGTGACACCAAAAAGGAATGCTGTTTCATTGAAAAAAGTCATTCCTCTTGATTTTTAGCAGTTTAACCATTTCAAGTGTTAAAAGATGTGTTTTTGTGCACGTATGCTAGCTCTCGAGAGAAAAGGAACAGCTTTTGTAGAAAAAGTGAACTCCAGATCTTTTTGCTGATTTCCGGCGGGCATATTAGTGGACAGTTTCTGTCCACCAATTTAATATGGCGCCTCCATACAAAGCGCTAACGAAGGTGCGTGAAATGTTTAGGCAAATAACTTAGAAACTGTGGACCACAAAGACCTGAGATTTGGATAAATTGTTTATATATTAGTCTTTTACAACAATTCATTTTCTTGGCTTCTTCCACAGGACGGTTTCCAATTTATTTTTTGTGCCGTGTTTATTGCGTGATAGTGAAAACGAAGAATTGTACGAATATTGTTACGTTACCATAGGTGGCCGTTTTTGTCATGTCAGCGATGACATTGGTTCATTAGTCTCGTTGAAGTTCCTGTTTGGGCTTGTTAACCAGCATTTTAGTTTTTCATCGGTTTGTAACTATTGCTGATCACAACCATGTAGGTTAAGTGCTAGTCAGTACTGTAGTTCATACGGTATTAAAGGCAGTCACTTGCAAAGTACATTATAATGTCGAGACTAAGACGAAATAATTAAGGAATTGTGCATTATTAAATGCACTCTCATCGTCACATATCTCATTTTTCAGTATGTCAACACAACTGGAGCTCGAATGTGTTTAAAAGAGCTGTACGAGTCAAAGTACGACCCTCTCTCTGTATCATATACTGTCTTGTCAGGTAAGAACGGTTTAATGGCATTCTTGTTTTAGCAACACATAGATTTTACTGATTACTCACAACTAATTTATTATGAATGCATACAGAGATAACTTAAATACGAGGGTCATTTCATTAATATAGGAAGGCGATCATTTTAAATATTAGCTCCCTGGAAGTTGTTCAATGTTTTTGCTTCTGATTATTCCATTTAATCAGTACATACTGCTCTCAATTTGACGTCGTTAGTTTTGTTTTCCTCTTTTTCTCCTGCTAAGGGTATCGGCCGCATATAAGCAGTTGGAATGATCTTTGTGAAGCTGCCTCGTTCCCAGTCGTTCGCGTTGCTTGCCTACATTTCTCGCGCTTATCAATTGTTCCGTTCTGCCTACTAAGACTTGGGAAAGCCTGTGGACCAAATGCGTAGGGATTTCTAAACTGCACGGTCGTTTTATATCTTTATCACAGATATTTGCCAGCCAAGATGGAGTTATTTTGGTGGCTACTGTTACTTTACAAGTCGTGCATGCGCCTCGTGGCTGACCGCTGAGTCAAAGTGTTCTACGATGAGTTCCAATTTGGTAACGGTTCACAATCAAGAAGAAAATGTCTACGTTCAACACCGTCACAACGGAGAGAGATCTTGGATTGGACTTAACGACCGAAGTGTGGAGGGCTCCTTTGTGTGGACAAACAAAGAAATAAGTAGTTTTAGGTTCTGGGCCCCACAGCAACCCAACGACTGGAAAAACGAAGACTGTGTTCACACTCTTGGCGCCAAGCATGGTTACACTTGGAATGATGTGCCATGTACTAACTGCTATAACTACACCTGTTTTAAAGGTACGAAGCATAGCCTTTTTTTTTATCTATGTTATTCCTTATGAGCCATATAGCGCTTCTAGACAATTTTAAAACTGCATTTTTTAATGTCGAGCTTACATCGTAGGTCTTTCACAATCCTTTACTACGTACGTTATGATACAAGCTGCACGTTCTAAACTAATAACACCTAATATGCATACTAATCACTAGGCGTGTCACGCATGCGGTCACGCCATTACATCTCTCCCCCCATCACGTGGATGGGACGCAACGGTGCGAACGAAAACAGCAAACAAAAATAAATAAATAAACTAAATAAATTAAATGTTGCTAATAACGAGTAAGCCCTTGTGTCCTTTACAGGCTCTAATGTAGCTAGTAGACACGCAAATTCTCGCTATTCGCAAATAAAGTCCTTATATTTAGTGTCCTTTGTGGATCTTGTTTTCCTTCTGAGCCTGTCCAAGGGCACATGTCTTCGCTCTGTGTCACGGTCTGATCCGGGCTGCCGAGATCTCTGCCTACTCTCGTACTCAGCTGTGTCGCTGTTTGCTCTTGGCTGCTCATGACCTTGCCTTGATTCACTGGATCTGTCCGCTGGAACTGCATCTCCACTTGGCCCTGCTAAGGGTCTGTCCGCTGGCAATGCATCCCCACTCGGCCCTGCTAAGGATTGCTCTGGACATTCAATTATAACTTCATCCGGTTCAAATGCCTCACCGCTGTCAGAATCATCACACCGCGGTGATTCCCTACAACCATTTTTGAGCAGTTTCCAATCGGCGTAATTCCTGGTGCGAATCCTAACACTGTTCTTGGCAGTGACTAAGCTTCCCTTGACGCCAATGACTACCATAGGCTCCGGGTCATACAGAGGGGTCAGGCTGTTTTTACGTTCCTGCTTGCACAACACAGTGTCCCCGACTTTAATTTTCATCACGGCTGTGTGTCTTCTTTTATCAGCATATTGTTTCATCTTCTGTTTTTGTTCTCGGTCCCGACAGCGGATCATCGTGTCATCCCTGTATTTAGGCTGTCCCTTGACTTCAGGGAACTTTCCACGTAATTCCCTTCCGAACATGAGCTTGTTCGGGCTGACTCCAGTTGTCGCATGCTCAGTTGCTCTGTATGCCCTGATTCCCCGGTTCACTTCATCCCTCACGGGTTTGCCTTCCAAAGAGGCGATCCGAGCGGTCTTCTTTACTCTCTGCATGAACCTTTCTACATCGCCGTTGGCTTCTGCCCACCCGGGTGTCACTTTCCGGTGCTTAAACCCCTCCTCTTTTACGTATTCTTCGAATTTATGGCTGTTGAAGGGCGGTCCGTTATCTGATTTGATTTCTTTTGGCACTCCATATGTGTCGAACACCCTCTTGAAAGTCGGTATTGTTGCTTTCTCGCTCGTGGACCCCACGAATTCAACCACTGGGTATCTGGCATATTGACAGTAAAATACGAGGGCGAGGTCATCACTCGCCATTGGTCCGCAAAAATCCACGCTGACCTTCTCCCACGGTCCTTCCGGTAGGTCTGTCATCCGGAGTGGCTCGCGATGCGTTTGCGGCGTGTTAGATTGGCAGGCGATGCAAGTGGACACGAACTTGTCACATTGTGAGTCCATTCCGGGAAACCATACATGTGCTCTCAAAAGCTGTTTTGTTCGCACCTGGCCCTGATGACCCTCGTGCGCAATTTCCACCATTCTATGTCTGAGTTTTGCGGGCACAACGATCCGATCCCCTCTCAAGACAATCCCGTCTACTATGGTTAGTTCATGGAAAACTTGCCGAAATTCGTGTGTCCTTGTATCGTTTGTGTCTATCCAGCCTTGGTTGATGTACTTCTTTAGTGCTTGAAGTGCTGGATCTTCCTCAGTGGCGTCCTTTACCTGGTCTCTGGTGACAGCTTTGGGCGTGCTGCACGTTACCACATAGTTTACATAATGCCGTACCTCCTTAGTCGTTCTCAATTCGGACTTGGAGCACTCGTGAAGTGGCATAGGGTGACGTGATGTGTAATCTGATATGTTCTCTTTCCCAGGACGGTACTCTACTATGAAATCATAGTCCATCATACGATTGACGATCCTTTGGACCCGGATCGAAGACGTGTGGGTGGGTTTGTTGAACACACTTTCAAGAGGCTTGTGGTCAGTCACGATCTTAAAGGGTCTCCCATACAGGAACAGGTGGAATTTCTTGCACCCAAAATCACCTGCTAGAGCTTCTAATTCAATCTGGCTATATCGTTTTTCCGGGTCGGTGAGGCTCCGACTGGCATATTGCACCACTCTCCAACATTGTTCTCCAGGCTTTCTCTGCGTAAGTGTCGCGGCCAAACCCACAGGGCACCCATCAATATGAAGCTCGTGCTCCGCCTGGGGATCAAAGTATGCTTGGACTGTGTCGCTACTGAGCATGTTCTTAAGTTCCTCGAATGCTTCTGAGTGTTCCGGTTCCCATTCGAATTTTCCGGTCACTAGCTCACCCAGTTTGCACGCCGCTTTCTGATACTGTCTGGCTTCCATGAATCGTGAACTATATCTGACCGTACAGAGGAATGAGTTAAGTTCGGCTGCATTTCTAGGGCGTCCTGCAGATTTAATGGCTTTCACTTTGCATGGGTCTGGAGATACTCCATCTTTAGAGAACATCAAGCCATAGTAGACCACGCGATCTTTTCTGAATTCACATTTTGCTCTGTTGAATGTGACATTCTTTTCGCGGCTTCTCTCGAGTAATGCTACCAGGTTTGCATCGTGTTCTTTTTTGTCACGCCCATGCACAATGATGTCATCACTTATGTTGAAAACTCCCTTCAGGTCGTGCGTCAATTCCTCTCTGATCGTCTCTTGAAATATCTCTGCCGCTGACCTTGTACCATAGTTGAGCCTCTTATACCTGTACAAGCCAATGTGAGTTGAAAAGGTCGTTACGTTCCGCGAACTTTCTTTGAGTTCAAGTTGGTGGTATCCCTTGCTCATATCCAGGTGGGAGAACACCGTTGACCCGCTCAGCTCGTTGACCACGTCGTCTATTGTGGGGTGCTGTGTGTGTCTGCGGGGTATTGCCTGATTTGCCACGCGCATGTCCACGTTCAGACGTATCTGGCTCTGATCTTTCTTGGGCGTAACCACAGGCGGTGACACCCATCCTGTAGGTTCGTTGACTTTTTCAATGATGTCTTGATCAATAAGATGCTTTATTTCTTCTTCCATCTTCTGACGTACGCTGAACGGTTGCCGGCGTGGTGGCTGTGCAACCGGCTTAAAATCAGGGTCTACATTCAAATCGACCTGGATTCCTTTTAGCTTTCCAATTCCTTGAAACCGGTCCTTGTATTCCTCTAACACTTCATTCAGGTTGTCTGTCCCTTCTGGCTGATTGCTTTCTGTTGCAATTGAATTGGTCACAAGAATCATTCCGAGGTCTCTCGCATCATTGTACCCGAGCAAAGGTTCGGTGCGGGTGTCTCCTTTTATTAGCTGCCACGTGATCACTTTCATCTTTGTCTTAGATTCCGTCAGTGCTTCAAAACAACCCAGAACAGGCAGCGTGTTTGCTTTCGACGCTGCCCCGTATGGTTTTATTTGGCATCTTGACTTTCTAACCTTTACTCTTTTGTCTAGGCCGTATTTCTTGAACGTTGCCTCATCCATAGCGTTGACCGTAGCACCGCTGTCCGGTAGTACCGTAATGTCAACTCCGCTAATTAGCACTGTTTTTAGGGGCCTATTGTGTGACTGTCCCACGGGGTTCACCTCTTGCAGCGTGCACGTGGACTCTTCATCACTGCTGTCCGACGATGTGTCAGATATTTGCTCGCCTCCTTGTGCTAATTTAATTTCTTGCTTGTTTTTGCAACACTTTGCAAAATGGTTTCTTTTGCCACATCGCGTACACTGTTTTCCAAAAGCCGGGCATTTTCTTTGCTCCCCCTGGTGTGGCCAACGTTTCCCGCAATTAAAACACAGTTTTTCTCTACCTTTGTCGACAGTGGTTTTATTGATTTCTTGCTTGACAGTCACTTCGGTCGTCGTTTGGTTTTCTACTCTTGTAGCGTGTTGATCCGCACTCTCAAGGCCACGAGCGTATTTTAGAGCTTCAGCTAGCGTTAGTTGGTCTTGCAAAAGCTTTCTTCTCACTCTCTTTGATTTGCCGTTCGTTATCATGGCCATTAATATCTCTGTATCCAACCATTCTGCCGGAAAATCACAGTGTTCGCCCTCTGCTTTTAGCCTAGCGATGAACGAGTCCCAGGTTTCATCTTTTCCCTGTATAGTGCAACGAAATTTGTGTATATTGAACAGCCGGTTTTGCGATTCTTTGAACTTGTTCAGAAGTGCGGTGATAGCTCCGTCCAAATCCGTTCCCGTATCGTCAAGCTGTTCGAATATATCTATTGTGGCTTCGCCTATCGAATCTAGGAA